GGCGCTATGTAGCCATATCAAGCTCAGCGGGAACGTTTTTTGTAACTGTCAGTGTCGTGTACTCCTTATCAGTCGAGAATCGATGCATTTGCTAAGCCTACTCGCTTCGCTAACCTGGGATAAGCCATCTTGATTTTCATAGGGAGAAACATGTTTTTCCGTGGCAAAAGGAGCAACGTTTTTCCCTAAATAGAGAAAACGTCACTCCATTTTTTTAAGAGTGTAAGGTACTCCGCTGCTAACCAGCAGGTCATGAAATGGAATCCCGGCTCCGTCGGCTGCCTTTTATATGGAGGCGAAAATGCGTAAGGCCCGTGTGCTCTGATTTGTGTGCACGTTAAAGAACCCCAGGTGGTCGGAATTCCCAGAACCCTCTACTACACCGTCTCGCATCATCATATGGTGGTTTTGGTGTGTTAAACTTCCCATAACAATCAAATGAATCAATCGAAATGCCTTCGTTTTTTAGCCTGTGTTTAGTACATACTCCTAGTACTAATTGTAATCTCGAGTGTAACGTCCTAAAACCATGATATGAATATGGGATACGCCATAGTGGAGGACGCTGAAAATTAAAGCCTCCTGGTTTTCTTTAAGGCCCTCGTAATCACGAGAGTAGGCCCAGTATTATTGCCGTTCCCAGTATGCCATATACATTGACACGCTGCATCACTTCTATATTGCATTGGCCGGGTACTTAATGCTATGAATTCGAAAAATTTGTTTGATAATTACGTCGTAAGAATTCGTGTTATGCCTAACGGTTTGAAGCAAAAAGCAACGTCTGCTTGGTCCTTTCTTTTCCAGATGCTACTGTCTGTGCTCCCGAGTAACAGTTTATGGCACCACCCATTTCTAAATACAGCAGTGAGACAACGACTACACTTTTGTCTGTTTGATGCAGGTTTTCTCTTGAACATTCACAATCAACTTGCAGATGTTAATCAAAGTTCTTGAACACGTGAGAGAAAAAAAGGGAAAAACAAGGAAAAACAGTAAGGTTACCCAGACGTATCTACTATCAGCATCAAATGAAATGCGAACATCGGAGTCCTTAGCCCAAGCACTAACGATGTTAAGAGGCACTGTGTCTCGTCATCACCATTAGCAGTCGCGCATATCCGGTTCGGCAGCAATTTGGGGTAGGTTTGTAATGTAATATTTTTGCTTGCGTTCTACTTCTGATTAGGGGATGATAAGGGCATACACGAGCGTGCTGAGTGCTCTTGGTGGTTTGAATTTTCTTTTATTTTATTAGTTGTTTCAGTGGTTTCAAATATCACAGCCAGAACGGCCAGAAAAATATCGTACATTAGGCTAATCGCGCAGTGCTGCCAGACCGTATGTGCTGACTGGACCTGTCTATAGTGTGAAGACTAGAGGACTCCCGCTACACCTCCTATAATTATTGTGACACGCATTCCACCGTTCGTGTTTCATCATCATCATCATTATTATCATCATCATCAGCCTTAACACTGCAGGACAAAAGCTTCTTTCGTGTTCCGCCAGTCAACTTGGTCCTGTGCTTGCTGCTGCCAATATATACCAGCAAACTTCTTAATCTTATCTACCCACTTCACCTTCTGTCTCCACCTAACCTGACTTCTCTAGGAATCCAGTTAGTTATTCTTAATGACCAGTGGTCATCCTCTCTATGTGCTCCCTGCCCTGCTCCTGTCCATTTCTTCTTCTTGATTGAAACTATGATATCCTAACCCCGGATTGTTCCCTATTCAAATCTGCTCTCTTCTTGTCTCTTAAGTTTATAACTACCATTTTCCTTTCCATTGGTCGCTGCGTTCTGCTCAATTTAAGCTGAACCCTCTTTGTAAGTCTCCAGCTTTCCGCTCCGTAGCTAATTACTGGCGAGATGCAGCTGTTATATACCTTCCTCTTGAAGGATAGTAGCAATTTACCTGTCATGATTTGAGAGTGCTTGCTAAATGTGCTCCACATTTTTCTTATTCTTCCAGTTACTTCAGTCTCGTGGTTCGGCTCCACGGTTATCACCTGTCCTAAGTAGACAGTCTTTTACAACGTCAAGTGCACTATTACCGATGTCGAAGCACTGTTTTCTTCCGAGGTTCTTGTACATTACCTTCGTTTTCTCCACATTAGATTTAAGACCTACGTTTTTGCTCTCTATGTCTAACTCCGTAATCACGAGTTGCAATTTGTCCCTTGAGTTACTCAGCAATGCATTGTCATCGGCCAAGCGCAGGTTACTAAGGTACTCTTCATTAATTCTTATGCCTAAATGTTCTTATCCTAGCCCTCTGAAAACCTCCTCTAATTGCGCAGTAAATAACATTGGGGAGATTTTATTTCCCTGTCTTAGACCCTTCTTGATTGGTATTATGTTCCTTTCTTTATGAAGCACTGTAGTAGCAGTTGATCCCCTGTAGATTTCTTCCAGGATGTTTATATATGCTTCGTCGACGCCCTGATTCCACAGTGTCTGCATGACTGCTGATATTTCTACTAAGTCAAACGCCTTCTCGTAATCTATGAAGGCTATGTATAGTGGTTGGCCATATTTTGAGCAATTATGTATTACCTGACTGATAGGTATGGAGTGGTCGATTCTTGAGTAGCCTGCTCAAAGTCCTGCTTGTTCCTTTGGGTGATTGAATTCTAATGTTGTCTTAATTCTGTTAGCAATTATCATTGTGAATAGCTTTTATACTACGAAAAACAAACTGATCGGCCTGTAATTCTTCAAGTCCGTGTCATCTCCTTTCTTATGTATTAGGATGATGTTAGCTATCTTTCAAGATGCTGATACTCCTCCCGTCAGGAGACACCTCGTAAATAGGGTCGCTAGTTTTTCTTACACAATCTGTCCTTCTTCTTTCAGCAGGTCTGATGTTACCTGATCCTCACCAGCAGCTTTGCCTCGTTGCATGCTCGCCAAAGCTTTTCTGACTTCTTGCATCATTACTGGTAGGTTGTCATCTGGGTTACTGCTGGTTCTTATATTAAGGTCGTCGTTGTGCTGGCTACTGTACAGGTCTCCGTAAAACTATTCCGCTAATTTTACTGTCCTAACCACATTGCTAGGTACTTTGCCTTCCTTGTTCGTTAGTGCATGCATCTGATTTTCGCCTATCCCAAGTTTTCTCTTCACTGCTTTGACGCGACGCTTCCTCCGTTATTTAGAGCATGTTCAATTCTCTCCAAGTTATACCTTCTGACATCGGACACCTTACGCTTATTAATTAACTTCGAAAGCTCTACCGATTCTATTTTGCTTGTTGTACATGAGGCTTTCATGATATGATGCTTCCTAATGAGATTCTTCGTTTCCTGGGACAGCTTGCCAGTGTCCTGTCTAACTACAGTACCTTTAACTTCCACTGCACCCTCCGTAATGATACTCGTCAGATTATCATTCTTTGCGTCAACGCTAAGACTGTTTTTCTCGATAAGAGCCCTGTACCTGTTCTGAAGCGAGACTCTGAATACCCATACTTTCCCATTCAGTCGTAGCTCATCGATTGGTTTTTTGCGCATCAGTTGCTCTAGTTCCTTCTTCAAGTCTAGTCGTACCCTGGACCGCACCATTCTATAGTCACTGCATCGTACATTGCCAAGCACTTCTGCATCATCCACGATGCCTGGGTGTGCTCTCAGTATAAAGTCTATTTCGTCCTTATTTTCGCCATTAGGGCTCCTCCATGTCCACTGACGGTTCCTTCGCTTCCGGTAGAAGATATTTAAAGTCCATAAATTATTGTGTTCTTCATACTCTACTAGTAGAGTCACTCTGGCATTTCTAGTACCGGTGCCATAATCTTTTACTGCTTCGTCTCCAGCCTGTTTCTTCCCTACTTTTGCATTGAAGTCTCCCATCGGTATAGAGTGCTTTTTTCTCTTACTCATCCGATTCCACCTCTTCATAGATGTGTTCAACCCACGCGTAATCATGGCTGGACGTAGGCGCATAAGCCTGTACTACCTTCGTCTTGTATATCTTATTGAGTTTATTTACAATACCTACCACCCTTTCAATTATGCTATAGCATTCCTCTTTGTTGCCCACTATGTTTCTGTGAATAAGTAACCCCACTCCCAGTTGTCTTCTGTCAGCCAAGCTCCGATAGCAAAGGACGTGCCCGTTCTGTAGCACTGTATAGGCCTCATCTGTCCTACTAACTTCATTGAGACCTGTTACAAACCATTCCACGCCCTCTAGCCCCTCGAATAGTACAGCTTGACTTGCCTCACTAGATAAGGTTCCAGCGTTAAACGTTGTCAAGTTCAGGGTTTCATTTATGGCCTGTCCGGATCCAGAGATTCTTAGCACCCTCTGCTGCTTTGCAGATCTAAACACCGCCATGGTCAGACGCTTCCTAGCGGCTGGGGACTGAGGGCCATGAGTTAATTTACGTATGCACGTAGGAGATTTGTCTCGTCATCACCATTAGCAGCCGCGCACATGCGGTTGGGCAGCAATGCGGGATAGGTTTGTAATGTAATATTTTTGCTTGCATTCTAGTTCTGATTCGGGTAGGATAAGGGCATACACGGGTGTATCGAGCACTCTTCGTGGCTAGAAATTTGTTTTTCATTTTATTTGTTGTTTCATTGGTTTCGAATATCAGAGCTTGTGTTTTATTTCACGCCAACTGTACGTACGGTTGGCTTGCCAGCAGTGGGAAAACGCATCGGAGAACGTGGAACTGTCATATGCTATACCCCCTCACTTCTAGTGGTCGAGATATCGTGTATCGCACTGAGCTGCTACCTTGCTGGTTAGCGTGAATGCTGAAACCACAATTAAGGGCTCCGTCGCACGTAGGTATTTTTCTGCACAATTTTTTCGCCTTTTCCCAGTGTAGCTTAGCGGTGGACATAGGTGCCGTAAAATTCTTGCCTTTCCATAAACACTCCTCGACTAGTAACCACATGAAATTATATAGAGCAATCAATACAAGGTGACCACCGATAGGCGAAAACCATGACAATGTTATGGATTGATGGAAGTTGTAACTCACCGTTTTTACTAAATGTATGGAACACATGAGAATAGATGCTACAATTGGAGGCACGCCGGCCAGCAGGAATGCGAGGTTGTAGTTTCCTCTCTGGTCGTATAGGATTCCTGCAAGGGAAGAAAGCATGTACCCTATCCTCCGAAATATACATTCATCGTAAAAGTGAATGAATGCGAACTCGTTCATACCAATCCAAAAAGTTAGCTTCCTGAAGAAATTGTAAAGAAGGATCCTTTTGTTTTTATAGTGAAAGCTGCTATGACATCACAAATCCGGTCACGCGCAGTTGTCCACCACCACCGCCACCGGTGTCCGTAACCACATCGCGCCGAACTAGAAAAAAAGAAACTCAGCACCAATGACACAGGTGGGCTTGAACTCAGGTCTACCGGGTGCCCATCCAGTATTCTACGACAGTGCCCCACACTGGTACTTGGGACTTGGTGGCAAACTTAGCTTAGTCAGGCTTGACGTCGGGAAAGCAATCACGTTAATACGACTTATAAGGCGTTTTGAAACAGCGAAAGAACAACCAGTCGTCGGACATTGCGAATGGTGTAACGACGGCGTCGTCCAATGCTCCACCCAATAACAAAAGCTTCTTCTTGTTCCCCTATTTTCTGTGGCGCATACCCACTGCAGCCATAATTCCTCTTCATAGTCAGCCACTGCATGAACAAATGGCGCAAAACAACTTGCAAATGTTTAGCGGATACGGTGCTTCTCAGAATGATGAAAAATAGCATAGTGAATGCCGCCCTACTACCCGAGAAAATTCATTGTTAATGTCCTAGTGGGTATCATGCAAGTGTGCTTGCTGTAATTACCAAATAAGTGTTTTGAAAGGTTCCAAAAGGCCGCTCTTCTAGCTTTCGCTGTGACTGTGCTGCGCCTTCCGCGCAGGCCTGGCATTTTCTAACACCTCACTCTATAAAAGCTAAATATTTGTGCACAATAATAGCTTTGTTGGCCATGAGCTCTCTTTCTGAAGGAATTTTTTGGGTCCGTGTATTGATTAGTGCTGTTATTAAAGAAAAAAAATAATCTGCCGCTTAAACAAATTACTACCTTTTTGTAAAAGATGAGCAAGAACCAAATTTCACTTCGGTTCAAATGGTTACTTAGGGACTCAGGTTCAGCAATCGCATGACATACGCAAGTCTCGATTAGATAACGCATATAGGCTTGTTATATTCAGAAAAAAACACACGAAAAAGCTGTTCGACTGCGTGGTCGACGAGGAATCTCAGAGACGCTACAAAGACAGATCCGGTGACTGGCCGCAGAGAAAGTCACATCATTGTCGGGCCAGCTAGCTCACTAAACAGCGTGATTCAAGAACGCTGAGGTAGAGTCATTGGCAAGTTTAGCGCGAACGCTCGGTCGTGCGTGCCGAAACAGTTTATTGACGCTAGCTCCTCGTAGCTTTACGTTTCGTTGCCTAGAGGTTTAAGCTTGCACGCCGACATACCATCTATGAAGACTGAGGTATCGTTAGTACTGTCCCGACAACAGTGCCCGCTGCTTCACGGCTCGTATCAAACAAAGTTGTCGATGTCAAACGTCACAGCATTCATAATAACCTTTCTGACAATTGTACAATGGCCGTCATAGTCATAAGAAGGCAGGTACTAGAAAAAAGCGTGCGACAATCTTAAAACATGTCGGATTCCCGCCGTTTGAATGGGACAACTGGCGGACGTTCCAGCGACTGGTCTCTGGAGTTCTAAATGAGTGCTACACTGTCACGTAGTCGTGGCGGTGAAGGAGGTGGTTGTCAGGCTGTTTAAAACACTGCACGCGAATTTTCTTGTTTGGGTTTCACAACTAACTTTCATTCTTTCCGCAAAACAAACGAGCAAACTAAATAGCTGAGCAGATGTTGCGATGTCACTGAGACCCCTCGCTTTATCGTCTCAGTAGTGGTTCATTGCTTGTAGGTAAAGAAGACTTGAAGCTTCACTTTCGTTAACCTATGAAATTTTTTATTTGCAATAAATTGTGCTGCACAAAACACCACGCATGCGATTTGGCTCTACGTGAAACGCACCTGCAGCAGGAGGCCCAGCCGTGAGTGGCACAGAACATAGGCCCAGTAGGAAGCCGATGGCCTGCGAAGCACCGCGTGTTCCCGTCAGCCTCTGCGCCGCTGGTCCGATGAGCGAGATGAAGCAGCCGTCACATAGTCCGAGCAGCAGACACACCAACACCAAGGAGACGTACGTATGCGCAGCGGCTATCGAAAGCGTCAGCAGACCCATGGCCATGAACGACACCTGGAACACGTCGTCAGAGAAGGCCCATGATCTACGCTTTCAAATGGTTTGCCTTTGTTGTGAGAAGTGCCGGGCCCTGCCTCTTGTTGGCCCGTGCATACTGCTTGCTCAAGCATGCATAAACAAGCATTGACGGCTTGATCATACCCACAAGTGCCAACACATACAACTATGATTAACTAGCGACCTACGTGTCGTTGATGTTTTACATATGGCTTTAATTTTGCTCGATTGGGGGATCTACAAAGGGATGCGCCCACGAAGCACAATGCAATCACCGAACATTACTACCTGGGAATGGGGCGTTTGCAGCTCCTCACACTAGACTAAACAAAGCACTAAGGGGTCTCACTTGGATAATGGAACAGACGCAGACATTATAGTCAGCGCGACAGACAAAATAACAATATTACATAAAAGACATGGATGCTATTTGAAAGAAATGCAAGAAAGAAAAAATCGGCAGACCCGCATACAGTGCGAATCAATGATATGCGAAGCAAGAGTGTGAGAGGTTGATATGCCACTTTAAATCAGCACTACACGACAATATTGAGGTAAACGATGCCATATATGTCTTGCGTGTCATGATTATCATGCTTAAATGTGTCGTTTACCTTCATCATCTATTCACGTCACGTGATACCAAATTTAGTATAAGTGGAGCTAGCAAAGCGTCTGCGAGCATGCTGTGAGCGTGGTATGTTGTCATGTGATTACATGACGCGGTGTCAGGATTATCATGTTTGCACCAGTAATATATTTCGTCATCCGTTGACGTCACGTGACACCAAAATTGGTATATGTGGAGCTAGAAAAACGGCCGTGAGCACATCATGAAAAGCCCAATATACCTCAATGTAGCGTTGACGCGCGTGCACGCTGGGCACAGTGATGTTACGTTAGCAAAACGCGAGCACTCTATAGTATGACGCCAGGCATGACCGGCGCGACTAGCACCTGTCGGCGCGGCCCGATGGCAAACGGCGCGAAATGCAACATGCTGCATCTTGCGCCAATGCGCTACCCAGACAACACTGCGTATCCCTCTTTTCGTGACGGAGGAACGCCGGACGTGCTGAAATGCGCCTGCCTGCGAGTATATGGCAGGACCCGCGCCTGGCGTGGCAACGCCGGCGTGACGCGACGAAATGAACGCCGGCGCACACGCGCACCGCGTAACGTCGTAATGTATTGGAGCCGTGACCATGGCACGTAGTCTTGTTCTCACATGACGCGCATACCATGATTATCATGTTTACACCAGTCACATACCTTTGTCATTCATTAGCGTCACGTAATACCAAACTTCACATAGGTGAAGCTAGCAAAACGGCCACCAGCGCATCATGAGCGTGGCGTGTATCATGTTGTTACATGACACGCATCTCATGTTTATCATGTTTGCACCTGTTTCATACCTTCGTTATCCATTGATGTCCCGTAATACCAAATTTGGTATAGGTGAAGCTACCGAAACGACCGCGAGCGCATCATGAGCGTGGCACGTAATCAAGTAGTTACATGACACGCATGTCATGATTTTCATGTTAAGATCTGTCGTTTGTGTTCATCATGCAATCGTGTCATACCATACCAGCTTTGCAAAATGTCATGCGAATAAAACTACCGCAAGGGCAGCAGGAGCATGAAATGTATATAATGAAATTCATGACATACATGTCATGATTTTCATGTTATAACTAGTCAAATATGTTCTTAATACAGCCATATTATGCCATATTAAGTTTGGTATTGATACCAATATCTGAACGGCCAGGAGAGCCAAAAGTTGTAGGGGGCTACATAGATAGATAGATAGATAGATAGGTACGCTCAAAGTCGCCGAAGATCGCTAAGAAATGCTTCGCATTTAAAAAAAAATTGAGCATATTCAGGGAGTGAATGATGATGAGTTAGGCGAAGCTTGAAAGGGTTTTATTGGCAAGTCATTGATACCCCATCTGTGTGACTGTCTTTCTGTGTGTCTGTGTGTCTGTTCATATGTTTGCCTGCCTGTCTGTTCGTCTGTGTGTGTGCCTATGTATGTGTATGTCTCTTTCTGTGTCTGTCTATGTGTCTGTCCATCCGTTCATATGTCTGTCTGTCTATCCATCCGTCCGTCTGTGTGTGCGTCTGTCTGTCTGCCTTTTTGTCTGTCCCTTTGTCCGTGTGTTTGTTTATCTGCCCATCCACCGTCTGGCTCTCTGCCTGTGTGTCTGCCAGTGTGCTTGCTTGTGTGTCTGTTCGTCTGTCAGTACGCTCATCTGTCTGTCTGTCCATCAGTCCGTCCGCCCGTCCGTACGTCTGTTTGTCTGTCTGTCTGTCTGTCTGTCTGTCTGTCTGTCTGTATGTCTGTCTCTGTATCTGTTCGTCTGGTTGTCTGTCTGTCTGTCTGTGTGTCTGTGTCTTTACGTTTGTGTGTCTGTTTATTTGTCCATACGTTTGTCCATTCGTTCGCACCTGCTGAAGGAGTCATAGAGCTAGGTGGTCACGTACGAAAAGAAACGTGCATGTACAGGCCTACGGTTTGGGGAGCTTCGCCACTAACAAGCACTGAATGTCATCCGATGCCATTACAAAATTCAAGAACAATTTGTCAATCCCGAGGTGCTTTCGACGAAGGCCCGTGCAGTGTGCCCATTGAAACGGGGTCAGTCAAAATACAATCCAATGAACGTGCCTCCCCTACTGCATGAGCCGGTTCATTCTGGCCGGGCTAAAGGGGAGATGATCGCACGTGTGAGCTATCCGGCCAACTCCACTGCTGCAGAGAAACGTCTGAGAAACGATCGTTACCGTGCGTGCTACTGTGCCAACACGTTATCTGAGAAATCAATAAGAATGCCAGACCTCAATAAGACCATACAGGATCACTGTTGTACCCTCTGCAAGCAGTAATGGGAACAAATCTGTGACTCATTCAAAGGCCAAAAACGCAAGGGGAAATCATGGGGCTTGCTGAAACATTTGCTCGATCACGGTGGCACAAAGTCCAATCAGCGACACATGCTCGCCAGGGCCGTGGCCAGCATGTGTTGCCCTGGCATGTTTCGCCCGGTGGGCTCTGGCGAGCATGCTACCAGATGGTGTACCGGAAGCGAGCTGATTGGCAATTTTATGGAGAAGTACCTGCTTGTAAAGCTAGAAAACGAGGAGGTACAGTTTCCCGAGTACCTTGGTCCAGCCCATCCGTAGTTGGGCGAAGACTTTGCCTTAGCAAGAAAGCCAAAGACAAGCCATTTTCTCACTCAATGGCAAGTCCGCCCTGGCGCCCGCTGGCATCACCAATAAAATGCTCCGGTATTTCGACGACCCTTCGATCGAATACCTTACCTAAATGATCAACGAGACGTGAAAACACGGGAGCGTCCCACAACAATGAAAAACCGCCAACCCCATCCTCATGTCTAAACCAGGCAAGGCTACCAGTTTTGATAACCTCCGACCTATCTTTCCCACGTCCAGCGTCGGAAAAGTGGCAGAACATGTCGTCCTACACAGCATAAACCAATATCTCGAAGACAACAACGTCTACACCCACAACATAATTGGCTTCCGAGCCGGCCAGTCGACAAAGGACACCATCAAGATAACCAAACATCACATCATCGGCAGCAGTACTAGGGACAGAAGGGCCTTCCTCCAACTTGATAAAGAGAAGGCGTTTGACAACGCTTTTCACGAATACATCCTAGCTTTTGTCCCAACCTCGAGCTGCGCCAGAGGCTATATAATTACGTCCGTTTGTTCTTGACTGGTAGGAAGGTGAGGCTGCAGTTTGGCAATTTTGTGTCTGATGAAGTACCCCTAGGCCAACGGGATACATCGCAAGGCTTTCTCATATCACTCACTCTTCTCAACATTTGCACAGCCAGACTATCAAAGAAGTTCACCCTAGTTGAAGGTATCAGCATACCTTCTACGCCGATGATATCACGATCTGTTGCAGCGGTGGTGGTGAAGGACAAGTGGAAAGTGCTATGCAAGAGGCCGTGGACGTCACAGAACAGTACCTGCTAGCCACCTGATTCAGATGCTCGCTGACCAAATCCGAACTCCTGCTTTACCGAAAAGAAAAAAAGTGGGCAGACCTAAGGGTCCAAGCCGGTCTTCGAGGGCGACATTCACTTGTTCACCCGTAGTGGCGACGCGACTCTCAGGGTTGCCACAATCAGAGTCCTGGGTATGTTTATCAAATCTCGTGGCGGCCACAGCAATGCATTGCGCAAGATCATTGCGAAAACTGATAATGCCCTTTACCTATAGCGAAGGGTTGCGAACCGACGCAGAGACTTCAGTGAGGACAGCCTGCTTCGGCTGATCCTTGCCTTTGTGCTATGTCACCTTATCTACATGGTGGCTATGCACAACTGGCTTAGGCAGAGGAAAACAAACTCAATGTCTTTATTAGAAAAGTTATCAAGTGAGCACTCGGGCTACCAGTTAAAACATACACCAAGAATCTCCTCCAGCTCGGCATACACAACACATTGTGAGATTGCCGAGGCTCAGGAACGGGCCCAGATAAATCGGCTTTAAACCACATCTGCTAGTGATTCTAGCGTAAATTGGACTCGCTTAAACCGAGGAATCGGCTAGAAACACCCGAATTTCTGGAATAGTAATAGAGAATTTTTTTCGCCACTTTGCAGCCTCGCAACATGCATCCTGTACACAGCGCAGGTGGTCGCAAGGCTGGAGCTTCGAAGATTGTAAAGGACACATCTGTGAATATGATAGACGCAACCTTCGTAAAAGCCGCCGCGTACCGCGACGGCAAAGCTTTCGTGCTTTCTGTCATGGATTCGCTTGGCCAAGTCATCAACTAGCTGCGCCTCGATTCGGACGACAGATCCCGGAGTGGCCGAGGAAGTGTCCATTGCACTCTCCATGCAAGCCTGGTCGGAAAGACAGGGTGTATAGTGACTCAAAAGTGGCCGTTAGGGCATTCCACACAAGCTGGGTAGCCCGAAGGGTAGTTAAAATTTTGAAAGAGGCCAAAAAGAGTAGCAGCTCCATGCACATTATATTTCGGTTTCCTGCCCACGTCAGGGCCATCGGGGGGTTTCTCCATAACCTCAATAAGTCGGCTCACGAGGCTGCGCGTAGCTTTGCCGACCGTGCTACGCTCGGATCAGACGAGCTTCACCCCGAACGCAGGTACACACGTAGCATTCAAAATAAAATTATTAAATTATTTTGCTTGAAGAGAAGAGTCTTCCCGCCGTCTTATTCCAAGCTAACCAGGCCACAGGTGGTCACGCTCAGACTCCTGCAAATGAACTCATACACAAATCTGGTGACCCTGCATTGCATAAATCTAGACTTTTACCCAAGTAGCTCTTCCTCAGCATGTGACGAGGCTGCTATTTTATCTCATACACTCTAGGAGTGCGAGTTTTTCGGCTCTACGTTCACCCAGAAGTATTGTGGCAAACTATTTGTGCTGACACAAGCTAAAAAGAAGCCAGTGCAAGCGCGGGTACTTTCGAATATGGTATGCTGGCCATTGGAGTACTGATAGTCGCCGCTGGTTACCGCTAATAGGTGCCCATTATGCTCACCCATAGTGGAGTACGAAGTGCTAGAAATTGTTACCACTGTTTCTAAACACTCTTTTTCCTCGTTATTTGTTGGCCACTCTCCAATAGTAGAGTACCAAGTAATCTGAATCTATAACAACATTTCTAAAGACACGATATCAAAGGCGCATGCCCTGATTGCGTAGGGGGCTTGATCCTCGCATTTGCCGGGAGTGGTCCAACGGATGATCAAGTAGGGATGAAGTTCCACGATCATATCGCGCAACTCCTTGCTGTCCAGTATGCCCATAACAACGCTGGAAGCCTTCACCTGGCCTGACCTCTTCTTAGCGACATGGGAGTAGTCAGGAAGGTGGAAACACCCTCTACAGGACGTAAATGCAGTTATTTTTACCTTTCCTAAAATTATTGCTCATGCTGAACAAATGGAAGCTGCTGCTTTGCGAAATTGTGTATGGAAAAAACATTTCTATAGGTTGATCCAAAAATTGAGCAGCCGTGTGGGCTTTTATAACTAAAAGGACACTTTCGGAGCTTTCATTACAGGTAAATGTACTGTGCGGGGTACTTTATCTCGTCAGTGGAGCAACAAAAAGTCTGTGATATGATCATGCGGGTAAACGTTTTTCACGGCAGTTTACTACTTCTAGCATATTCACGCTCAAAATACCTAAAATGGGTATCATATGCGTTCAAAGGATTTTATTTCTGGAGGAGGGGACGGGATTGGCGCAGCGCCTCCTTTCCTAATATTTCAACATACGGGCAGATTTTCCACCATATAATGAATGTATCGTGCAGAGTGAAGGGGACCCTTTGCCTCTCCTCTCCTTTACCCCCCTGCCATGCTCATGCTTATCATGTGCAGTACTTGAACTAAGTCACTTTAGAAGGTGTTGTCAGACTTGAATACAGCCCAGAATGTGGTAGGGCACATAGAAGAGCTCTACGTGGGTAGTTTAGCTTAGGCACTTTTTCTAATCGAAAGGGCAATCTGATCATGCTATGTGAGTACTATGTCAAGAAGTTTGACGCACCAATTTGAAGTTTATGTGGCACCCCGCTGCGGTTGTCTAGTGACTAACGTACTAATCCCGTCACTAATTCCGGTGGTGGTGTCATTATCAATGGAGGCAAAACTGCTGTTGGCCCGTGTGCTCAGATTTGGGTGAATGTTAAAGAACCCCAGATGGTCGAAATTTCCGGAGCCCTCCAATACGGCGTCTCTCATAATCATATGATGAATTGGGTGTCGTTAAACACCATATATTATTCACTCAATGAATCAAGTTCATGTGGCACATTCTCCAAGCTAAAAGGTAGTGAAAGGCTTTGGCGCCAAAACAGCGATTTATATACCATCTATTAGAAAAACAAATTTTTCAAGTATCTCTATATTTCTGGCAGCTACTTATTTCATCCATGGAGAATAGGGTTGAAGAATCTCAAAAAAGAGAAAAAAAGATAATAATGAAAATAAATAATAATAAAATTGTTCAATGTGCTAGAGAGACCAGTAAAAATATGAGAGCTAGGGTATTGGGTAAGCTAAGGCTTCTCGTGTGAATTGGCCAATTATAAGACTTTTTAAGTGGGCGGTTTTATTGACGAAAAATATTACCTATACATAGTCAACGCACTGGTGAACATGTGTGTTGAATATTAGGCGTCATGAATTAACAAATGTTCTTCATAAGCAGGCAAAAATAACTTGCTATTCTCCTGGTGCCTAGGCATAGAGTAAAAACACAAGCTTATTGACCAATTTCACGATCGCGAAAGGGCCCTCGGTAATATTTGTATTGCTTATTTTTCGTTACACAAATAAAGACGCCCATAACAAGTTTCGCGACCGTAAAGCTTCTTGTTTCAAAGTTGAATGCAATAGTAATATCCTGCTCCTAGTGCGTTATTCAACCACTTATTGCATACAATGTAATGGGTACAATGCTTTTAACAACGAGCAATTAGTCACGTAAAGTGTGCTCGTACTTGTTGTGCACCCATTACGTAGTCTTAAAGAAATACGGGTAGTTATGTATGTGCCATGTGGATGGGTGGATTTAAACCACGGCGTTGTCATGCTGATCACGTGTTATGACGACCGATGGCAATGTACGATTGTAGCACGCAATATTACCACAATATTGCATTTTGTATTGTGACGCCTGTATGCAGGACGCGTGTGCATGTAAAGAATGAAAGTTAGTTTCACTGCACCCACTTTTCAAGCAGAGGTAGATATTTTTGCTGTATTTGCAAGCAGACGCGGGGCTGTGTGGTAGAACACCTGCTTATCACGCAGGCGGCCGTGGTTAAATCCTCACTCCAAACTTTTATGATTTATTTTATTTGCATCTTTTTTTCTTTTTCGGTCATGCAAAATATCATATTTTCCTCACAACCAACAACGCCGACATGAATGTCGAAGCCGCCACTTCTGCAAAATGACCTCTTTAAAGCTGTGGCGTTAGTAATTCACTCTCAAGCGCCTAGAAAGCAGGCTGTCTGGCCACTTCGTTCTCAATAACTGAACGTCTGTTTGCTGTTTTTTTTTTGTTTTCATAAATGGGCATGTAAACTGGCACAGTGTGGCTTACACTGGCGATATTTCAAATAATTCGTAGACGGCTCACGTGTCTCACAGTGATCCCACTCCAAACTTACGGGCACAAACCCCTGGCGCCCTTGCCATTGCAAGTTCTCTCTTTTTCACGAGGCTCACATCTTATATCCTTGCCCAATTCAGCCTGATGAATTGCTTGTTATAATGCACCATCTCATCGAATTGCTTGTTATAATGCACCAACGAGATGTGGCTCTTAAGCATTGTCATGCTCAAGCAGGACAAAGTCAGCCGCTTCCGGTGATGTATAGTTGCTTCAGTCGCCCATTATGTCATCACGTGTTGGGCGGTGCTCTTTGAAGTGTGCTACGATAACGCAATAATAACTTTGTTAGCATACTAATCATAGATGTCTCAAGTTTAACGTCCCAAAGCTATGACATGTTTATAAGGAACGCCATTGTGGTAGTATTGGGGCTCCAGAAATTTCGATGTCTAAAGGTCTGTTCGCGGGCTCCTAAACTGAAGTGCGTGGGTTTCGAGCATTTTCGCCTCTGCTGAAAATGCGGCCGCCGTGTGTGGGATTGGACTCTACGACTTGCCAGCCAGCAGCCAAATCGTACAATCACCAGGGCGGATTGTCAGCCTACTGGGTGAAGGCGAAGACGTTCAAAGAAAGAAAAATGAAATTCTCAAAATACTTACACTTTTCCCTTTAGTCCGACACTTTTTTTGTTGTTGTTGTTCTGGCACAGAGGTAAGAAGAAGAGTGGTGGCTTGCAGAATGAATATTTCAACCTCTGGGTTTCACAATACAACATTACTTTAAAGGTTGTAACTTGATTCTTTTATCTCTTTCAGTTTAAAATCATGACAGTTTCCCGCTGCCACAAAGTATGTAATAGAAGTCAGATAATATGTGACAAATATAGGTGTATTGTTTGTCTTTATTTTTATTTATTGAAATCACCTGCAGTGCCCGAAGGCATGACTGCAGGGGGGAATGCACAGAGTAATATGTACATAAAAAGAATAACCATGAAAGCAAGCTTGGCACAAAACCGAAAAAAAACGTTGCTATGCATGTTACAGTATATCTCTAAACGATGTTTCAGTGCGAGTAAACAATTTCCTGTGGAAGGTGATTTCACTAGAATATCGTGTGTGGAAAAGCCAGTAATGGTATAGGTCATTTCGGCAATACGTTTCTCTTATTTTTGTAGATTGGTCACTCCAGTAGAATAAGAAATGAGTGGGTAAAAAGTAAGAATCTTCACATATTTTAGCCAAGCCGTGAAAATTTTCAAAAGCATTTGATATGTAATGTTTTTTCTGCATATACTAACTCATTGTCACCGCTTCCTATTCAGTTAGTGCAGTGACGCTAAACGTGAAATCATATATACAACTGACAGAAAGGGCTGCATAGTTTAGTTGCAGCAAGAGAATGTTAGATACACTTTTGCTTGGTGTGTTCCAAACCACAAAGTGTTGTGATATAGTATTGTGATTTAATACACTCACTTACCTGCTGTAAGACAACGGGACTAACACTGGGCAAGTCGGCTAGCCTGCCGAACAAGATGCGTCCCAAACCCGACGTGATGCCCATGCAAGTAACGAGCGTCTCGCCATTGGCATCGGGGAAGACGTCTTCCACGTGCTGGACCTGCCGACAAAGCAGATTAAATCTAGGACACACCTAACTGAAAAAATAGTCTCTTCATTTTTCATCAAGAAGATGAGAACTAATGGGAAAACACTGACAAGCAGCTTCACTAGCTCCGGCTTTCCAAATGCACACTTTGGTATGTTTGTAACAAACTGTGCCGCACATAATGAAGAGACAAGAAAAAATTATATAGTTACACAGTAATCAACAGTGTAATTCAACAGGACAAACCAACAGCAACAAAATAACAAAAACGTGATTGGTAAGAAAAATGATCAGTAACAAACGAGACATTTTCATTGAAGATATGTAATATCGCAGCACAACACAAAAACAGCACTAATGAACTACAGGTTTTCCCGCTAAATTTATTCCAAGCGCCAGCCAAATTAATCTAGGCGCCAGTCAATTTAATCCAGCCGCCACTGAAATTAATCCAAGTGCCATTCATTTTAATCCAAGTGCTACTGAATTTAATCCAACCACCAGACGATTTAATCCGGACGCCAGCGAATTTAATCATGATGACATTGTGACTTCAAAACGACCCAGAATTTTCGGGAATGCGTGGAGTGAATAGCTTTGGAGTGAATTTAACAGGGAAAAACCATGAATGAGTCACTCGTGACACAATGTGACTCGCGCGACATTATTTCGCCTATCACTCGCGTAAGCACTATTCACACCTTCGACATGCAAAGGAAACGCCGTCCACACAGTAATAACTTGATACTTATTAACCAGGCCGATGATCTCATCACGAGTGACTTAGGTGACGACCTCACGCATATCACCCACGCATGCACTGTCTTAACCTCCCGTCATGCATATCAAATGAAACGTCTTTGAAAGGGCGGGATCTTGATTCCTAAAACTCGGCCAAGTCACCTGATAACCAGTTCCTCAGGGGACGTCATCACCCATATCACCCGCACACGTAATTTACTCGCCTACCGACATGCATACCAAACGAAACGTCTTTGAGTGAGCGATAACGTGTTACCTATGACTCGGCCAACTGACTTGATCACTTGTGATTTAGGTGACGTCATCACGCCTATCACCCACGCACACAATGTCTAACCTGCCATCATGTATACCAACGAAACGTCTTCGAGAGGCTAATAAATTGAACGCTGTCAATCGGCAGAGTGACGTGATCACTATAGTGACTCGTGTGACGTCATCTCGCCTAAGACTCACGCAAGCACTCTATAATGTGCCTTCATGCATATCAAACAAAACGTCTTTGAAAGGGTAATAACTTGAATGCTGGCACTAGGCCACGTGACGTCATCACTAGTGACTCACGTGACGTCATTACGCCTATCACACGCACACGCAGTGTCCAAACCTGTCTTCATGCATATCAAACGAAATGTCTTTGAGAGAGTAATAACTTGAACGCTGTCACAAGGCCCAGTGACGTCATCACTAGTGACTGGCGTGAAGTCATCATGCATATCACACACGCACGCGGTGTCCTAACCTGTCTTCATGCATATCAAACGAAATGTCTTTGAAAGAGTAATAACTTGAACGCTGTCACAAGGCCCAGTGACGTCATCACTAGTGACTGGCGTGACGTCATCATGCCTGACACCCACGCAAGCACTCTGTAACCTGCCTTCATGTATATCAAACGAAACGTCTTAGAGGGAGTAATAACTTGAACGCTGTCACAAGGCCCAGTGACGTCATCACTAGTGACTGGCGTGACGTCATCATGCCTGACATCCACGCAAGCAGTGTCCAAACCTGTCTTCATGCATATCAAACGAAATGTCTTTGAGAGAGTAATAACTTGACCGCTGTCACAAGGCCCAGTGACGTCATCACTAGTGAGTGGCGTGACGTCATCACGCCTGACACCCACGCAAGCACTCTGTAACCTGCCTTCAGGTATATCAAACAAAACGTCTTAGAGAGAGTAATAACTTGAACGCTGTCACAAGGCCCAGTGACGTCATCACTAGTGACTGGCGTGACGTCATCATGCCTGACACCCACGCAAGCACTCTGTAACCTGCCTTCATGTATATCAAACGAAACGTCTTAGAGAGAGTATTAACTTGAATGCTCTCGCTAGGCCTAGCGACGTGAATACTAGTGACTCATGTGACGTCATCACGTCTATCACACACGCACGCGCTGTCCTAACCTGTCTTCATGCATATAGAACGAAACGTCTGTGAGAGAGCAATAATGTTATACTTATGACTCGGCCAACCGACTTGATCACTATTGACTCACGTGACGTCATCACGACTAACAGTCATGCAAGCACTCTCTAACGTGCTTTCATGAATATCAAACTAAACGTCATTGAGAGAACATTACCTTGAAGGCCGTTGCAGGCAGCGTCTGCTAGTAAAAAACTAATTTCTCGCGCGCACAGCCGATCACCAGCTAACCGGTATACGTAGGCACCAGATCACGCGTTTCGAATTCAGTCAAAGGTGTCTTTACATGGCTTTTGTTTGAAGTGACGCTTTTCTTGAATCATGTAGATGCGATGGAAGCAACAGTACCTTCAAGCAGCAGTGTGGTAGAACCCAACAACAGTGTCACATCGCTCGTTGAGGGCAGCGTTTCTCCTTCATTCAATAAATAGAAATAATGAAGTCGAAATGACAATTAAGCATTTTACAAACCATACTCAATTATGCAACATTCAACCGATACCCTCACCTCCCTGCGACACGTTTACTCCAGCTCGTTGTGTGGGTAGATGTACGCGTCTTTTTTGTTGCTTCTCGTGTTTCGTAGAATGCCTTGAAAATGCGGGCAGCCAGGCCACAATACTGTGAACGGACAGGTGTTCTACACTAAACAGGCACGCTTATTTCAAGCACACTAACCTAAAAGAAACGGCGTGGCGTAGAATGTAGAAAGGAAGGCACGAGTCAGCCACAGCATTGAATGGCGCATCAGCAAATGGCCAGTTGCAAATAGCAATAGTATGTATCTCAAGTATGGGGACTGCCCTCTATTACAACGGATTCGTTTCACAGGATAACCAGATGAAATAATTGTTGAGCCGCAGGAGTGGTAAACAAATCTTTTTGTAGCAAGCTTTGGAGCAGACAGACCATGCGTCTTAGGCTTGATTAAGGATATACAGTGTTATGACTATAGCCGAGTTATATGCAAACGCCTGTTTGGTTTCTTGTGCTCATATCGTGTCATTTTGACACGTGAGCACAAATTAGAGGGCGAGGAGAGCTTTTATAGTGCTTTTATAGTGCCTATATATACCTATTTCGGGCGTTGTAGCCTCATATCGTATAGGTGCCTGTAAATGTCTGTTTTCAAAATCGATGCCTATATAAACGCTATTTAACCTGAAATTTTGCTTTCAAGTACCACTGAGCCCGGTATTCATGTTACCGGGCAAAATATAGGTTTCGGGACACTGTGTGGTGCAAACTACTCTTTATTTGACGAGTTACGTTTAGAACTGTCAAACTCAGAAGGCATTTTAGCCAAGAGGGAGGTAGACTAGCCTCTACACATGTATACCATCCATGTCGCGTCGTCTGCTCAGCCTCTTTCCGGTGTGCGCTCAGATGCGTAGGGAGCAGGAGGTGCCTCTGGGCAGCGGCAGGAAGATAAAGAATGAATGCGAAACGGTGGAGAGTCATCAGGGGAAGTAAGGAAGTAGAGTGCAGATAAAAAAGCAATATCTATGAAGTTTTTGTTTTTTGTTGGTCATTTACATGTGGTGCTTCACTGGGTCACCTGAAAATATTTATTTAGGCAGTGGAAAATGTTGCCTGCCCAATGAAAAGAATTGTGCCACTAGAAATTTTAATTTGATCATTAGAAGCGGCGAAAGCTTAATCTGAGGAGGTGAGCTATAAACCTTCAACACTAACTCTAAGAAGACTTCGTAAGTCCAATTCCTTCCCCGCTATTGGTATGAAATTCACTCGGAGCTGGAGCATCACACGACGTGCATGAGCACGTCATGCGCGTGTAACCTACACTCGCATGAGATGCCCATGTCAGCCCGTGCGTGCAAGCGCTTTTCTGACGTCTCGATGTTCTTTTGTATTGTACTGGGAGTTTTTGTGGGATGGATCCCTATCTGCGCGCACGTTTGGAGAGGCTGGCTTGGATAACGTATCCTTACCCCGATACACAGCGTCACACCGCTGCATTTTCTGCTAGGGACGATACACTAAAACCACGCCCAGCGTTGTGAATGCTGGCCCCGACACAATGCGCAAACTGCGAGAACACCAACGCAAACAAAATGGAGGCACCTTAGCCTCACGTCTCTCTCGATATGAAATAAATAAATAAGGCGAATAGATTTCGCCTGTGTGTTCTAACATTTTTGTAAACTTTCATGCTTCTATTTAGGCAACAGTTTGTACAAATTACATACGTTGTCTCAAATAGTTCTCGCAGTGTCACGTACTACTTTGACATAGGCAGAACCATTCTATCACCTTCACCATGTTGGGGCGCAAGCCCATGAGATGAAGGTGAAGCCGTGTTTAGTTTGGCCTATCACCTTTTTATGCCACGCTTAGTACTGGAAATCTTGGTAAATGAGATCTTGAGCGCTCAGTGCATTCATTCCTTTACGCTTCTCAAAACTCTTAAGTTTGTGCAACGACCCTTAAAGTGTTCACAGAAAGAAGAAAAATTGAGTCTGTGTGGTTAGGCCAAGTTAATACGCCGCAAAAAAAATCCTTCTGGCGCCTGGCATTCTGACTATTTGCGCATGTATAGCCCTTCTTAGCTATGGCACACAGAAAGAGACCCAGAAGCATATTTCTACGATGGTGCACACTTAACTGACCATGCTGAACTAGAAATGGAGAGACCGTATTCTGCGAACCCCGCGGAAAAACGCATGTTTATGCTAAATCATTACCCGTTTGTACAATTATAAACTAGAACATTTTTGCTTGCTTTCATGTCGTAGAGACAGATACCACACCTGTTTATTGGAAAAATTGAGTTTTGTCAAAGATTATTCTGCC